TCCTATGTGAGGGTTTTATTACAGAGCTGTCCTCGCACAAATTCATTCCAGGTTTCCATTAGTTGCAAAATGAGTCTGATTTGTCGTGCCTCATGCCTGTCAGTGTTTCCTCAGTTCTTTCCACCAGTTTAAATAATCGTCGGTTCACAGTGCTGCTTCTTAATCAGCAGAGTTAGCTGGATGCAGGTCTCATTACAGAAATATAGGCTCTGAAATGCGGGAGCAATTTAATACCATATTATCTGTTCGAAAGCCTCCAGTGACATATTTCAGACATGATATCCCTCCTGCAAGTATTTTAAGAATTATTTTGTGGGTTAGAGCAGCATTTCTCAATCTTAATCACTTTAAAACTATGCAAAAATCTCAGGGCACCCCAGTCTAAAATCGAAAAACATAAATGTAAAAAATGATGTGCCAGATCCTTATCCTAGATTGGGGTCTAGTATGGATTTTAAGGGCAGACTCCAGGCAAAAAATAACAACACAGGTTTCCTCCTTCACATCAGAGTCCCCCTATGTATGAGTATTCCCCTTTCACATCAGAGTCCCTCCTTCACATAGCTGTCCCCCGTTTCACATTAGAGTTCTCCCCTTCCACATCAGAGTACCCCTTTTACATCAGCCCCCACTCCACACCAGCAGCCCTCCTTCACATCAGGAGCCCCCTTTCACATAAGGTGTCCTTATGTGAATCCCCTTTTCACATAAGGACCCCCCTTTCACATCAGAGTACCCCCTTTCACATCAGCACCTGCTTTTCACACCAGAAGGCCCCCTTTCACGTCTGGAGCCCCTCTTTCACATCAGAGTCCCCCTTTTCACATCAGATGTTCCCTTTAGATCACAGTCCCTTTTCACATCTCCCCTTTCACATCAGAACACCCCCTTTAGATCAGAGTCCCTTTCCACATTAGAGTCCCCCTTTCCCATCAGAGTCCCCCTTTAGATCAGAGTCCCTTTTCACATCAGAACACCTCCTTCTCATCAGGAGCCCTTTGATCTATTATATGTTTTTTCTTCTCTGTCTTATCAATGCTTACAGAATATACTCCAGGGTAAAAAACTGGCACATTCTATCATGGAAATACTTGGCCGATCAATTATTGATGACCTTTGGCTTGTTTCATTGTAGATGTCCTCCAGAGTTTAGAACATGCTTGTATACTGGAGAAGACAAGCTTTCCATTCCTGTAGTTTTGTTAAATATTAACTCCAGATGAATTTAAGATAACCCATCGCACGCCGTCTAAATAAAGCTTTCAGCTTACTAAAGCCTATCTCCAGCCATATATTGGTATTGCATACTAGGGTGGGAAAGAGTTGACTCTGACCCCTTGGGGATATTCTCCCCCACTTCCTGTTCCTCTGACACAACAACATATTTCTAACCCTTCCTCACCCTGCTGAAAATGTATTTTCAGTAACCCTTGCAGTGGCGGGGTAGCCCCACTGCACGGGTACTTTGGTGTTGTGTTGTCGAGTGTTGTCAACCCTCCCAATGTCTTTTGCTAAACTACTGAACACATTCTACTCTCAGATCTTCACAGAATAAAGGCTAATCATTCTGTAGTTCAAGATAAGAGCTAGGAGGGCTCTTTGGGATAACAGGAAGTGTGTAATAAACATTTCCTGTGTCCTTGTTTATTTCTGGCAAGATCAACGGGTTTTTCTTTTTTTTTGCACTTTGCAAACAGATATAACAAAATGCTTCCAATATTAAACAAAAGGGAGCTAATAAGAGAAGTTGATTGTCAGGGTTTACATACACATGGGCATAAGTGAGAAGTTCACCTGTGTTCTCCCAAGCCCGCTCAGAACTCTGGCTGCCACCCACTCCTCCTGACCCAATTAGTTGCAGAGAGGTGCATTGCCCACCCCGTAGCTAAATATCAGAAAAGGGTGGGGAATGGAACATGCAGCAACTTCCACCACTGATTGGGCCAGGAGGAGGGAGCCGTGGTCACAGTTTTGAGCAGACTTGGGCAAACTGAGTATGCACCAAGCCCAGGCTCATCTCTAGTAACCATTTGATAGAGAGATTAAACTTTTGATTCCATTTTTGTCGAAATCGCAAAGCAACCGAAGACCGATATAAAATGGTGATTACGATTGAGGAGAAGGAGGTGAGATCGATATTGCCCCAAGTGAACCTGGCAGAAAACTCTGATCACTTTAAATGGAATTACTGTCATTTTTCATTTTTTTTTAAATTAAATCTTAAATGAACGATGTTGAAACTATTAATGTATCGTCCACTTTTAAGTTCACAATTGATAACATTCTGGTGGTCGGTTGACCTCATGGGTAGTAGATTGCTTAGTTTCTGGCAGGGGCTTGCAATCATATGTGCGATTTCTGCTGGATAGAAAGTGGTTAAAATAAACTGAAAATTGCCAGGTGTATGGTCAGCTACATACATGTGGAGCTGGGAGTGATTACACGCTTCTGGACTTACCCGTATCTTGTGGGCAACAGTAGTGATCAGATGTTTTCCAGAAAATACTCAGCTGTGATTCATAGTTTGGACTCAGTGGCTGCTAAGTTCTGTTTTAATTGTCTAATTGTTTTATTGTTATTGCTTATTATATGCTATGTGCAGTTGTGAGCTAATTGTTTTCTGCCATCAATTTTACATGATCATTACAGGAAACCAAAAATGCAGCAGACCCTATTTTTATAACAGGCTTCAACACAGCAAGATTGGTGTGAACCACTTCTATTGATCGGCGTGCTTATTTACGATGAGCTGTAGGTGTTAATGAGTTTAGAGTCTTGACTACGTAGCTGTCATTTAACTGCACATAAACTGCTTTACTGCTGTGCCTGTCTCTGAGACTAGTCCTCCTCTCCCCCTCCATAAGATGACGACAGTACAACCTACGTAGCTTCTATGTCCTTGGGCCTGAGTCTTCTTGCGTGGTCCCTTTGAGAAGTAGAACTTCAGGCTGAAAAATGCCAGTCAGAATTTCATTCTAAGGAGTTATTTCTGGCATTGCTTCTATGTGTCACGTCTCAGTCTCTCTGCAATCTCTAAGTGTTGTCTGTTGTGTTTTTCCTAAGTACAATTCAAGCCACACGACAGCCAGATCTAGCAAACCTGTAATGTACTAAGTACAATGAAGGTGGTTGTGTAAGCATTGAATTCATGTAGAGCTGAAGTTTTTGTAAAACCACATAACCTCAAGCCATTTGACATTTAAGCAGTTAAGCATGGGCATCGATTGGTAGATCCGTACATCAAATTATCATCCAAGAACCTTTTTCCTTTATAATAAACATACAGTATATATACTAGAAAAACCATGTAGGCACATACATTTGGAAAATTACAGCCGATGTTCATTAATGGGCTAGTTTGTGCTTAGCATCATCTTCCCACTTCTCCGACCAGTCTACAAATATGCACATGAATCTGCAGGAGAGCATATTGATTGAATCACTTCCAGTTCAAGTACACCTGCATAATATAAGCCAGGCCTTGCCCATTACGTGTGTTTGCAATTACAATTCAGCAGCTGTCAATGCTAAACTGATAAGCCAACGCAAACCAAGATCTCTTGATCATGTGATAAGTGGTGTCAGCAACCTCTCTCCTCTGCAACTCCGGTGTTCTGTCGAGAACGCCAACCTCAGCATCTGCGCGTGTGCACAGACCGGGATTAACAAGGAAACCGTCATTTATTTACAAAGTATTAATTTGTAATTGTTAATTGTGACCATTAAGAATATGCCATCCATGGCAGTCAATGATGGATGGCATTTTATTCACATTCACAATGAACATCCTAAGCAATTACATTGTTATGTAATTGCTTAGGATATTAATTGTGAACGTGCATAAAATGGCATCCATCATTGACTGCCATGGATGGTATATTATTAACGGTCACAATTAACCATTGAACCAAAATACTTTGTAAATAAATGGCGGTTTCCTTGTTAATCCCGCTGTGTGCGCAAGCGCAGATGCTGAGGTCGTCAAATCCAGCGGGGTCGTCATTCTTGACAGAACACCGGCTGCACAGGTATCTTTGTATTTGAAGTCTCACAAGAATTCAGGCAGCAAGAGAAAGGTTAACAAGAAAGTAATGTCAGCATATTATAGTACGGCAGCTCCAGAATACACTCCATATCCATGTTGTATGAAGCTGAGAGTAGAATTAGCAATTCTGATATGCAGATATATTAAACTGGGTTGCTCTTAGACTGATCTTTCCAGCTAAGCCCCCCCTCTGCTGCAGCAGTCTTAGGATCCTTCGAGTCATCACATCCAATACACTTTATATTGGATGTGAGGGCTGCCAACGTTTTCAATCGTCGATTTTAATCGACTAAATCGATTAACTGTTGCAGCTCTAGCGCAGAGGGAATTACCATGGCTGCATTGTAGGAGAGGCTGGAGGGAGCGTTGAGCCAGCCAGCTAGCTCCAAAGATCGGGTATAACTTTTTTTTATTTTAGCCCCTATACAAAAACAAGCAGTTTACCCTTGCAGTGCCGGGGGTAGCCCCACTGCAAGGGTTAATAAAAAATGTTGCACGGAGTTCTTCTTTAAGGAGACTATGGGTAATACATGAAAGGAGGCATCAATCTTTACAGATAAAGCAACATCCTATTAAATGTAACTGTCCTTTTTTTTATACACCTAGTATGACAATAGGGCCTATGTAGATAATAGGAAAATGTCTACCTCTCAGTTTACCTGTTATAACTCCCTTTGCTTATATCATCTTTTAATTAAATATTAATTTTTTTGAACCAGAGTGACAAATATAATCTTATCACTATAGCAATGTGGTCTTTTTTGCGTTGCTTTACAGCAGTTCTGAAATAAAATTTAGGGACATAGTAACAGAAGGTAAAAATAACGGAGGAGACCAAGCAAGCATTGTTTTTTTTTTTACATCCGGTACTACATGAAAATATACTGCTATAAGTAGGCCCATTGTTAAAAGCTGTTCCTACTGAAACATATCTATATTGTCCTTTCTTTCACAGGGGCGAACTATGCAAGTAGCAAGCGACCTCCACTTGCTGTTGACGGGCCAATTCTCCAGTCCAGGACTTCAGCACCATCCAAACAGACTGTCCTCTCTTGGCAAGCTGCAATCGATGCTGCTAGACAGGCCAAGGCTGTCCAGAACATGAGTGCCACCGAGCCCCTGCCGGTTGGATCTTTGTCACAGAAAAAACGGCAACAGTATGCCAAGAGCAAAAAACAAGGGGGAGGCTCCACAAACAATAGACCAGCCCGTGCCCTTTTCTGTTTATCTCTGAATAACCCAATCCGGAGAGCCTGTATCAGTATAGTAGAATGGAAGTATCCTTTACACATGTGTTTGCCAACTGTGGCCAGTTTAAAATGCACCTTGGGCACATAAGTTACTCTGTGTACTATTTTGGTTTTACAAGGTTGCAGAATATATTTGAAGGTTAGATCAATGCTAAATAATTTATTGTAAATGACTTGGGACATTATGATGTCTAATTTGTACTGGTCTTTAGGGCCCCCAGTGTGGAGACCAAACAATTAGTAACAGATAATCAACAAAAATAGCTACCTATCTCTGTCTGCATTTTGTTTTTGAATGCTTGGCAAAAGAGCTTACCATCATCACATTTTTGGCTACTAAAAATCCAAGGTCTACTTACAATACAAGTGTTTTCTGTATATTGTCAGAACCATGACATTGCATAGTCAAGTGGTCTTACATGGTTGGTGTAAAAGGTAATGAGCCCTGGCTAGAGGCTTTTCATTCCATTTTTTATCTTTATTCATTCACCTAATGACATGTATAGTGTATATAATGGTTGTCCACCTCTTGGATTCATTTTCAGTTTCATTGATGACATAGGAGAGAGGTGAGGTCCGGGGTCAGCTGTGACAAGTATGGAAGAGCTTGTTAAAAAAGTTTTGATATTCACGGATGTAATCTGCAATTGGAGACTGTGCAATCTGAGCTTTCTATATTATTATTGGATTATTATATATACAGGGCCGGTTTTGCCACAAGGCCACCTAGGCCATTGCCTCGGGGGAGCAGTGAGTAGAGGGGCAGCACAGCCGCCGAGTGGGTAGTTTTTTTCTGCATTTAGCCCTGCTTCGTGTGTTGTAGTACAAGTGATCCTGTCGATGCCGCCGAGATTACTTGTAATTAGCCTGCAGGTCTGTCCTCCTCTGCTGGCCGCCTTCCTCCCCGCCATGGTTTTCAGGGTCCCCCGCTCTTTTTTGGGGGTGACTCGGGACCACGGCACATTCGTTCTCGATGGAGAGCGGTGAGCAGAGCTGAGAACGTCCATTCTCAACTCTGCTCCGTGTAAACAGTGAGACAGGAGAGCTGTACTCACAGCCTTCCCATCTCAGCTGTCACAGGAGAGCCAGCACAGTGCTGTAATAAAAAGGAAAAAAAAAATTTGATAAAAAAGTAAAAATAAGTAAATTATAAAAAATTAATTTAAAAGATAATAAAATGAAAATAGTAAGACATAAAACGAACCCTGCCACCCCTGCCATCTGATTGCCCTTATCCATGGGGAGGGGGGGGAACCCCTTTATATATATTAGAATAAATCCGGCCCTGTATATATATTATCTATATATTACTTGTGTCATATATGTTGTAGGGACCCAGTTAGGGTCATGCTCCATTAGGGGATCCTTGGTATGTTTCTAGCCAGATTAGAATGTTCACAAAATAAATGTTTGATATTTCATATGTGATAGTTTTATGACCTTAACCTTTTATTCAGACCATTTGACATATTTATATTAGTGGCAATTTTTGCCAATTGTGTGGCCTTAGCTGTTTACATTCCATTCCCTGAAGATGATTCCAACTCCACCAATCACAACCTGGTAAGTCCTCTGGTTTGGCATCTGCATATTCACGGAACTGGGATTAGAGACATTTTTATGTGCGTTATACTGGTGCAGCCACATTAAGAATCCTTTTTATTCATTACTGGCACCTGGAAGGGTGATATTTGAAAAGTTGTAAAATTGTATTGATTTGAAGGACCTAGAGGAAAGAAAACTTGGTGTTCATTTCATGTGTTTTCTAGCTTGCCTTAGAAAAAGGAGTTCTGGGATGTGATTGGTATCAAAGGCCATCACAGACTCTGCCTTTCTCCAGTAAGTCAGGGACAATGTGACAGTTTCCATCAATCACGGGAAGGGCAGTGGGGAAGCAAAGTGTGGCCAGGTTTGGGAATCTGTGTATAAATTACCATGTTGTTGATAATAACATGATTGATAGGTAGAGATTGAATTAATTTACTTACTAAAAATCAGTGACATGTTTACTTGAAGTCTTGCTCAATGCTCTAAGCCATCTGGTGCCAGACTCTGCTATCATTAAGCATCTCAAACGTCACAGTCATTGACATAGTCTAAGTTCTTTATGTCATCCTTGTATAGAGCAGGTTGATACGGGAGGAGTTGACATTGCTTTTCCACAATACACCAAAACCTTCATAATGAAAAAAAGGATGGTGTCTACGCACCAAGCAGCTTGTAGTACACAGTCAGTGATCATCTATTATTGTTTTATGTGAAATTTGGTTGCTGTAGGTGAGTTTGTACTGAAGAATGTATGTTCTGTCTAAGAAAAGGTATCATGAGGTGCCTATGTTACCTATTATGTCCAGGAAACCCTCTTCTGAGCACCCTTCTGATCTTGGTTTATCTTTGTTACCAAGAGCCTGATTTAGGCACTAAGCCCTTGCTACTTGCTGCCACCCTGACCAGTGAGAGTGAAAAAGTGGTTAGTAGGGATACTCTCCGGTGTCAGGGCTTAGAACCTAAGCTGGGTTGGTCAAGTCTTAGTATTAAAGTGAATGATCAGCTTTTCTGGCTATCGCACATATCTGAAGCTACTTGTGGTACCTGTCCTAGGCACGGCTTTCTCTTTGAAATCTTAAACTTGGCTGACCATTACACTTAAATTGGCATTTAAGATTGTTTTATAAGGTAGTGCAAACAACATTTTGATTTACAGTAGCCAGAAACGTCCTCTCAACCAGGGCTGCCATCAGGGGAGTAGGACCAATACTCATGTAAGGGGCCCGGGCAGCCTGTGGGGCCCAGGTCCCTTACATGGATATCAGCCAACGGTGACAGGCAAGGAGGCAGAGGCGCCCTGGCCCCAGCAGCGCCAATCCAGCGGCTTCGGAGGAGGCTGGGGCCCCAGTGTTTTTTCATCAGAACTATGTTAACCAATTGATTACTAACGTGTTTCCCCGAAAGTAAGACCTCCCCCGAAAATAAGACCTATCTGTCTGTGGCTCCCTGGACGGCAGAGTGGACAGCTGCAGCCAAGCCAGGTAAGACATCCCCCGAAAATAAGACCTAGTGTCTTTTTTCGTAGAAAAAAAAATATAAGACACTGTCTTATTTTCGGGGAAACACGGTAGGGACACTTTGTAATTTGTTCAAAATCCAGCTGTGTAGGCAACACACATTAATTCCATGTAATTGGCATAATTATTTAACTACATGGGGGCTGATGGATAAACAGTGCACCAGTAAAATAAAGTCTTATTGCTCATAGCAACCAATCAGCTTTCAACTATCATATGTGCAGTGAAAGCTTGAAAATGTAGATATATATTAGAGATAGACATGATTTGAATCAATTAAGAAGCGTCATCTGAGAAGTAAGAGGAACTAAGAGTCCTTTGGTTTCAGTCCTTTGAGTTCTTTTAAGTCTACACATTATTGTTTCAAGCCCTGATAAAGGGAGAGTATCAGGATGGTTGTTTTTCCTTTGTAATTGAATTATTAAAGACCCTTTGGATTTTTTCTTCCATTTGGTCTGGAACCACACTATTGATAAGATAAAGCCATGTTAAATACAAAATGGAGTCAGATTTACGATGAACTGAATATGAACTCATGGCCTAGTGTTTGTGAAAACTTGTTTTTGTCCAAAGAACTCTTCTTGGATCAAGTTATGTGGATATGTGTCCACAGATAGCGTATATAATGCATTGGATTTTGTATGTAAGTTGTCACACTTTCATCTGAGGTGTGAACCAATGCATATCTAGGGAGACCTGATATTCTGTTGGAACCAGTGTGCTTGCTTGGAAAACTTTGATACATTTGAACTTTTGAAGAGCTTTAAGACCCCAGTGCCTCTTAAATGTTTCAATCCACACTTCGTAAACATCAGACCCCATCGCGCAGAAGAAGATGTGCTAGTGTGATACCATTGTGTGCGTTGTAATTATTTAGTCATGCAATATAATATTGTTCTGTGATTGAAGATGGTTCAGATTTTTATGTAAAGTCCTACAGACTTCAATCTGTTTATGTGCAGCTTGTTACATGCCAAAGCTGAGCGGAGGGATACTTGTGAATTCGATTTCCAGGGATGTATTGAAAGTGGATAAACAAGGTCCTGCACTGTGATGTCTGAACTGGATGTTTATATAATGAGACGCAATACGTAAATTAAATATATTGAGATTGCTGTGCGGAAAATAATTGAATTCTCTCTGCCATGAAGGCAGATCTCGAGTTTCATCATTATATGTGCTTGTAGCATTCATTGCGTCATCTGATAGCTTTGTAATATCGAGCTGGGGGACGTAGGTGGAGAGTTTTTAGCAGGATTTAGGGTATAGGAACTACAATGCAATTTCACTGAGTATTCAAGTAAAAGCTCCTTGAACAATATTTGGATTTGATTTTCAAATTTTAGCTGCTTGTTTTGGTTTGTTTTTATGATCATCTTTTATATATGAGATTTATAGAGTCTCCTTCTAGTGGCTTTGTTTATGTCAGAATGTGCCATCAATGTCCTTTAGTGCAGACATGCATTAACATGCAAAGACCATTTTTCTAGAAGTCCCTTACCCCAATAAAAAAATATAATAAACAATAGCTATAAAAATACTTACCTCAGGCTGCGGGTTTTGGACGCTAACTGCAGGCACAAGTGACATCATAGACATAGTGCAGAAGCACAATCGTGCAGGATTTCAAGCACTCAGATTTGCCAGGAGGCAAAACCTTGTAGTTTCCGATGAGATCTTCCTGGTAATGTTTGGCCTTATTTACACAGCAGTCCAACTCTTCGTGTTTGTTTTATTAACCCGTGCACTTAATTAATGTAGGATCCAAAGTTTACATTGATGCTCCAGTGGTTTTAATGTGTCTTTCATGCATTATTCATGTTGTTTTCTTTTACATTCTAATCTATAGAGACTGCAGTGAGCGAGCAACCCTTCTTTTATGGGGGTGGATGCAAGTGGATCCATCAGCCTGTTGTACACAGTTGTTCTCTTTGAAATTCATGTTTGATGATTACATTTCTCATTCACCTAGCGTGGATTTCAAATACTTTTCTTTCTCCAGCCGCATACCTACCGATAATACATTAGCCAAAAAGGACAATAGGTCTTTTTATTAAAATTATGCATATTTTCTGCTTTCTGTATAGAGAATTGGGACCTTCGCAAGAAGTAATCATCCAGTACTATACAGGTCTAATAACTAATGTGAGGCACACATTATTCATGCAGAATACATGCGAAATGTCTGATTTTCAGATTGTAAAACTCCAGTCTATTTTTTTTATTTCAAATTCACAATACATTAGCCGACAGCTTCTGGTGCAGAACTCCCAAGAATTATGCCTTTCCCTAAGATGCCCCTCACACTTAAGCTAGCCATCAATCAAGGGTATTTCTGAAATAAATCAATGAAACGAAAATCATTCATCAGAGCATTCCATGATTATTCATTAATTTATATTTCTATATATAAAATGTATAGGAATACAAATTGCTTTATCTGCTGTTGGGGCAGATGGTAAGGCAGCCATCTTGGGCACGCTCAGTAGACAGAAGGCTTTTAAGCTACGAGTATGTCTTTGGATTGTGGGAGGAAACCCGCACAACCACAAGGAGAACATGAAAACTTCATACAGGTAGTGTCCCGACCAGGACTTGAATGGAGGACCCCTGTGCTGCAAAGCAGAAGTACTAACCACTAAAGCCCATTTCCACCTTTGTAAGTGATTAGCATTTGTTGTGGTAATGTGTATGGTAATGTAATTGTGGTGCAGTGATGAGGATGTATATGTGTGTACATATTCATTACCCACATTGCTAGCTTTAATTTTCTTATGGACTTTTTAGTAGGACTGAGTCCTACAAATTGAAAATCCCCCCCGCAGGAAACTCAGTCTGACACTGGGGTCCAATCTTGTACAGGCTGTAAAGCAGCTGCCCCCTTCCTTATTCGTCATCGTAACAAGATCAGTATACACCAGCTCTGCCTCTCCAGGTCACTCTGCACTGTTTAGGGGGTGTTGGCACAATGAATATTAATGAATGGGTGGAGAGAGCTCAGAGAGACAGCTCAGTTGCCTCAGAGAAGCTCTTGCATGAAGAAAACATAGCATTGTGGGAAATGTAGTTTTCCTTGCCCTACATTGTAGTTCCCACTGTGCACAGCAGCCTGTAATTTACACAGACTGTCTGCAGAGCAAAGAGGTGGCCATTTCAAAAAGAACCATGAGGAGATGAAGAGGACAGCTAAAAAAAAGCAAATGCCTGTTTCATGTAAGCTCAGTGTACATTGCTGGCATATGTTTTTAAAAACCACCACCATCACTGACTCCACATTAGTGTTCCATAAGCTCTCAAAAATGTTGTTTACTATTTAAAAATTATAAAATTATTGCACAGCTTAGAACGCCTAGGCAGGGGACCTGCTTTTTCTCTGCTGCAGTTCAGTAAAGCTTACAGGTCTCCTGCCCGGACAGCAAAAGGAGAAGCAGGAGGCTGATGAGTTTATCTGTCTGTCACTCTGCCCTCCCCTCATAGCATCATGCTCCTTGCACTCCA